CCATCACCTGAGACGGAAAGTGAGAGAAGCAGTGAGAGCAACTACAACCATGAAATCTGTGGGACCAGATTTGCAGCGCTGTGATGTTGGATTAGATAGTTTAGACAAATAACCAGCTGAACAAACAAGTTTAAGTGTAATTTATTTTTTTTCCACGAAAACACAGGCTGCTAAGAAACTAAAATATCGTAATGGTATAAAAACATTGCCCGTGTCTTTTGTTATATCTAAATGTCCGTCAGTTCTGAGTTAATTCAACCGATCTCTGCTCTGTGTGCGTGATTTTACTATGCAGCATTTTTTCTATGTGCTTTTCAGATAGGTAAATAAATATAAAATATAACGTGAGGACTATGAATAAAAGTTTTGTATCCAGTGTGGGTTACATGCATGGATTTAGGCTGATTATATAACTGAACTGAAGCTATTCAACGCGTGCCCTAGATATGACGTCGATTTGTGGTGATAATAAAATAAAATAAAATAAAATAAAATAAAATAAATCAACACTGAATATTTCATTAGTAAGACATCCTCGCCGGCGACGTGATTTTTCCGTTTCTGGATCCCCGTCTGCATGATAACGCCCAGTGTGCATGCAGTAGGAGGCGCCTGATTTACCTCAGTTCCTTCGGGGTGGTCATTTTAGCCTAAATATATTTCATGTAGGCATTTTTAATTCGGCGAATAAGTTTCAATGCAGCGTCATATCAATTATACTGATGCATTTTTTATGTGGACTGCATATTTTATGACGCTATAAATAAAGGCTTATGTTTAGGGTAGTAAACAACAATTCTAAATTAGCGTGAAATAAAATGTGTTTTAGAAGTATAGCAGAATACAAACAAATAATAAATAAATACATTAGAAAATAGAAGTTCTAATATAATAATACACACTTTATATCGGTAATATTGTAGCCCCGGTGAGATCTGCGTATCCCGGCATGCTCGCGTACCATCTATAGTCCCAGTAGGTAATGGTTGTTGTTACTGTAAATGCTAGTTGAATTTCCTTATTGTGGCGTATATTTTTGCCCCTGTGTTATGCGTACCCTTTCCGATCCTCGCGTGTCCTTAGCTTTGTATAAATCTCCCACCGCGTGTGTACCTCCCTGTTTCGCTAGTGTGACTAGGGGTCGGATCGCGTGCGTGGTCATTTATAGTAATAAAAGTGTGTGTTTTCCCAGGCGACTAAGTCTCCTTATGCTTCTTTTTTTCCGTGATGCTTTGATATGCCCGAAGCAGCAATATGTTTACTACCGAGATTATTATTAAAGCAGGCTGCGATTTGTTGATCGGTTTGTAACGAAATAGAATGTGTGCATAGCGACTGTGGAATACTGTCCGCCGCAACTGCATGTCTATATAGTGCTGTTACACCTGGTGAAAAAAGTACACCAGATTGACTGCTTTATCATTCAATTACAATGAAAAGTCCCAGATGAAGCTTTTTAAAATTAGAAGGAAAAACAGAACGTGTGGAACAGAAATTAATGAGCAAATCTTTGCCATTCCAAGAATTAATCGTGCTCTGTGAGTTTGAATGAACTTGGGGATCTTTACAGTCTTAAAATGCAACCGGAAAATATAGCCACAGTGCCAAATTCCAAGGATAATCCTCCAAGGATCAGGAATAATTAGACGCCTTTATAAAATTATTACAAAATATGGTGCCTTACTTTCAAGCAAGTCTAAGTAGCTACTTTGAGAATCTAGAATATAGATCGCTATGTGCAACGTCGATAAAAAATGCTGTTGTGTTACACACGGCTACATTTGCATCATATAGTTTCGTAATTCATTGCTGGTAATTAAAAAACACGTTTATTGATTTCAAGGAATGCATACCCACTTTAGTCTCCGGCACTGAAACAGAAGGATATTAATCAGCCCCCACCCCAGCTTCCCCTTCCCCCGCACCATGGTCTTCCAGTTTTCCACATTTCGAGGGTTATGGATGAAATACATTGTCTGATTGGGAAAGTCCATCAGACGTTCGCTAGATTTACACAGGGCGCTTTTCCTCTACATTCCAATTTGTATGTTTCGAGACACACGTGTACCGAACTAAATTTAATACGACATACACACAGTATATACATATCATTGCGCATATATATATATGTGTGTGTGTGCGTGCGTGTGTCTATACACACTCACTGGCCACTACATTAGGTACACCTGTTCAGCTGCTGCTTGATGGAAATATCTAATCAGCCAGTCACATGGGGAGCACAGGTGATTTACGTGACTTTGAAGATGGCTGTGATGTTGGTGCCAGATGGGCTGGTATGAGTATTTCAGAAACCGTTAATAATCTGAGATTTTCACTCTGGGCGAAAATGCTTAGTTGATGGCAGAGATCAGAGTATCATGGCCAGACTGGTTCAAGCTGATAGAAAGGCAACATTACCTCAAATAACCACTCATTGCAACCAAAGTGTACAGAAGACCATCTCTGAATGCACAACACGTCGAACCTTGAAGCGGATGGACTACAGCAGCAGAAGTCGACACGAGTGCCACTCCTGTCTGCTAAGAACAGGAACATGAGGCTACAGTGACCATGGACTAACCAAAATTGGACAACGGAAGACTGGAAAAATGTTGCCAGATAAGATGAGTTTCAACTTCTGCTGCGACCTTCAGATGGTAGGGTCAGAATTTAGTGTAAACAACATGAAAGCATGGATCCATCCTGCCTTGTATCAACCTTGTATCAACGATTCTGGCTGCTGCTGGTGGTGTAATGGTGTGGGGGGATTTTTTCTCAGCACAGTTTGGGCCCCTTAGTACCAAGCGAGCATCACCTAAATGCCACAGCCTACCTGAGTATTGTTGCTGACCATTTCCATCCCTTTATGACTACAGTGTACCCAGCTTCTAATGGCTACTTCCAGCAGGATAATGTGCTATGTAACACAGCTCATATCATCTCAGACTGGTTCCTTGAACATGTCGGCGAGGTCACTGTACTGGAATGGCCTCCACAGTTATCAGATCTCAATCCCGTAGAGCACCTATGGGATGTGGTGGAACGGGAGATTTGCATCGTGAAAGTGCAGCTGAGAAACCTGCAACAACTGCTGCAAATATTTCAAGCCCTTTGACGAATCTATGCCATGAAGAATTAAGGCAAAAGGGGGTCCACCCAGCACTAGCATGGTGTACCTAATAAGATGGCCAGTGAGTGTATATGCATATCAAGACATTTTGGACAATTCTATGCTTCCAACTTTGTGGCAACAGTTTGGAGAAGGCCCTTTCCTGTTCCAGCATGACTGTGCGTAAAGCAAGCTCCACAAACTAGAATGGAGTTTGTGAGCTAGGCCTTCATGTCCAACATAAGTGCCTGACCTCACAAATGTTCTTCTGGATGAATGGGCAAAAATTCCCACAGACACACTCCAAAATCTTGTGAAAACCTTCCCAGAAGAGTGGCTGCTGTTATAGCTACAAAGGGTGGACCAACTGCATATGGATGTCAATAGATACAGAATGGGATGTCATAAAAGTTCCTGTAGGTGTAATGGCCAGGTGTCCCAATATGGTGTGTGTGTGTGTCTGTGTGTGTGGTTAGTGTGGTTGCTGCATGTGCATTCTATCACTGAATGGTAACGATATTTACAAATGCAAAATGAAACATAATTTCATGGGTTTAAGTAAATAATGAAGCTGAATCTGCTTTTGCAGTCATGTACTGCAGCCTTATAAGACAAAAAAGTTTGCACTTGGGTGCTGATTTGACAGTTTTTTGCAGGCCAGGAGGGGAAGATCCTTTTATGTAACCTGACCATTTTGTCGCTGCTAAACGGCTATGGCTGCTGAGTTGATTACTGGTATCTTATCATGAGACAGTGACCAGCTGTCAGTAAGGGTCCTAGCCAATGTGGTGGCCCCCTGCCAGAGGCAAAGTGAAATTGGCTGGCAAGTCCATGTCCCCTCAGAAGGGGGCGCTCTAAGCAGCCATCTGTGTCACCTACAGGATAGACCACACCTGCCAGCCATGCTTCCATTTTTTATGTTATAGAGTTTTGTGGTTGGTGGAGTGTTGATAGCAGCATTCTATCCCTTGTAGAAAAGAAGCTTGTTGTTCGATGTTATGGAAAAGCACAAAGAGAGGGAGGGAATAATGGGGGAAAGCTACTTCATTTTACTGTGAGGAATGGATGTTATTATCAGACTATTAAGCATACAGAGCATGATGTTATTTATACAGCTGTGACTGTATACCCCATTGCCCTCAAAGGCATCCCTGCACACTGTCCCCAGCCCAGCTGTAAGACCAGTCACATGGAGGGCAGATTCTCAAGCTGAGCATCTTGGTCCAAACCTCACACACTCTGCCTGGTTGGAGCAGGAGCCCTGTACAGAAAACAGGTCGAGGGGCAACAGGAATGCTGCTGCACACACTGCTGGGACTTGCATCTGAACATACAATTCTCAGAGAGCAAATGACCTATGAAATAATAATAATAAGTCTAATTAGCAGAAAAAAATGTACTGCAACGAATGTTTAAGAATGCATATTTGGTTTAAACAAAAACCAGTGTTCATTTTTATTTTTATGTTGTAATAAAGCATCGGTCCAGGATGACAATTTCAGTACCTTTAGTGACATCCGTTATTGACTTTTAATACAATGATATAAATATAGACACCATTAATAATTGCATATCATTGATATAAACATCTTCACCATATCTCCGTAATACTTGGAACCAATTCCAAAACATGCATCTGTGCACCGTAATATATGCGTCTAATAGTTCATTATATCCAGCTGGACGTGTTTCTTACAATAATAAGGGTATAATTTATATAAACACTGGCGGCACTCTTTTCCCTATCGGATAAGCAGCAAAACAGGACGTGGGACCGTATTTTGCCTGCATTGCACCTACCGCCAGATAAAATTAGCCGTCCGGTATTTCGAGGCCTTGAAGTATCACTCCGCTAGTCTGACGAAGCGCGCCTTCGACAGGCAGAAGCGGACGGAGGCGTAAAAGTAGTGCGGCCACCGAGCCCTTTTCCAACTGAGTGGTGCGGTCAGTCGGAGGCAAAGAAGCAGACCCTAAGCAAGCTGACCTTTTAAGTTTGTCTGTCTGTGTGTGTGTGTGTGTGTGTTTGTATAAAATATTTTTTAAATACAGTTGTTAAGGAGATATGGCCGATACCGACAAGCTTAATATAGACAGCATTATCCAGCGCCTTTTGGAAGGTAAGCTCGGTGCGCTTGTGGTGAATGTCGACCATTTGAGTGTTTTCCTCACCGGCTAATGATGTGGCTAACTAGGAAGCTAGCACGCGCCGGTGTGTTGTCGTTGTGATTTATTTTGCGTACTGGTTAACTGGTTTTTTGTTAGCCCATTTTAAAACCTGGTATGATATTTCAGGAGAAAGTATCGGAATCGCGTATTAATGTTTCTCGCCGCCGTTTACAGTACGGCTTTAGCCGAGCCCGACAGCTAGCCGGCTAACTTCCCCGCTAAACACCGTGTCGGCTGAAATAACTCGAGTGTTACCTGACTGATTTTTCGTCCCTGTGTCGAATATTATTTCAGGCAACATTGATTTCGCTATTTCCCTGCCATATTATTTAAATGTACTTTTTAAAAAAACATTTCTGTACATCCGGCTGGGTGGGATGCTAAGCGTTAGCCTGTCAGTTGCGACGGATGACAGCGCCGATGCCCTGCTCTCAGAAGCTACACATCGCGTGTCTGTTGGTGATTTTCGTATGTTTCCCCACCTAATTTAATTTGTTGTAGATCTGAAGAGTCATAAAGTTGGTGCTCACTTTAGGTATGTTAATTAGGTTAGTTCGTTAGTTCGCTAGCCTGTTAGCCGGCCGTTGTCGCTGTTATCAGCCGGGGCTGTGTAAATGGCCCGTTTCCTCTTTTGTTGTACTGCCGATGCTGCACCGCTGTATTCTTCGGTGTAAAGCAGTAAGTCGTTTGTCTTTCTCTGAGGAGTTTTTCAGAAGGGTGGGATAGGCGAATATGGCAGTGTGGGGTTTGCAAGCTATGCGGTAGGCGCCGACCCAGTTTAATTTTCAGATTGCCCTGGTTTCAGGGTCCTGGATGCTATGCAGGTGTTCGGTGTCTGGGTTTGCAGAAAACGGCTCTTGTCACCGGGTTAGGTCGATCTGTAAAAGCACACACAGACTAACGCATTGGCGAGCTTTTTGCACGCTTCCCAATCGGTGTCTTGACTGGATATCTTTTACAACGGGGGTCACGCCAGCGGAAGACCTTCTCCGGTGAGGCGAGCGGGCACCTTGTCCTGCGAGGACTGGGCAGAGGTGGCTTGTTCAGTTCAAAAGCTTGTCTTGCCATCTCTAATGGCAGGGATGCCAGAGGGGCTGTAAACTGTAGCTACCCTTTGAAGACTTCACCCCAACTAGGCTGTGTCGCAGTCTGTCTGTGGACCTTTCCTTGGCTTGCCAGAAGGATGTTGTGCATTTTTAATGTGAAAACAATATAAAATGTAATGTAAAATTCTTTGCTAAGAATTCTCCATTTGCAGCTTGATACAATGGTCAGATCCCCTTCCCACGTGAGTCTGATGGCTGTTCCAGTTAAGCACTAGCATTACTGTGTTTCATCCTATTTTTTAACATTTTAAAAATGATCTACTCAGAAATTATTAATCGAAACTTGGAGTATTTACAGTGTTTGTTGCCGAACTATTATCTTGTCCATGCTTACTCCCAGTTTGTGCACCTTATGATGGCCTTTATTTTCAATCTAGCATTCAGTAAAAAGCTGGTAGGTGGAAAATGCTACTGTCTTGCATCAGACTGCTTAGGGTGAAACATTGTGTGTGCTTGCGGCCTTGCTGGTTCAACGGCTGTCACCCTCGGAGCAACAAATGGAGTGGAATGGAACTGGCACCATTTCTTCAATGAGGGGTGGGGCAGTTTCTGGGAATGCTCTTCTGCTGACGAGCTTGTTTCGGCTTCCATCATAAACCAGCAGTCAGTTTCTCGTGTGTCTTCGTGAAGGTTGGCAGGAATGGCATTGGTCACCACTCTTCTGGATCTTCTCCCTGAGCTTTTGTACTTTGACCTCTAATTACTGGCAACATAAGAAGAGTAACTGCTTTGTAAAACCTAATGTTTTTTTGTTTTCATCTGCCTTTTGATGTTGAGCAGCTCCAAACAAACAGGAAGTTCAACTTCTGTGTAATTAATAAATGGACTTGCTCTGTACTCTAGTTTGCTGCTCCATTGCATGATCACTTGCAAAATTTCATGTCTCACAAACGGGTTTTGATGCCACAGTCATGTACGCAGCTTATTTGGTGTCCAGTTAGTCATGCTGCCCCCCCAGCCAACAAACTACATTTTCATCTCTGCCTCACCAAGACCTAAGGGTATGAGGCCATATTTTTAAATCACTGCCCATCTTGTTGCTCTGTCACATTTTTTTTGCATTTATTTTTTAATGGCTGCAAAAATATTCTGATGCTTGCATGTTTTTGTCAAATAACCTTAAATGTGGAGCATTTGTCCTGTTACTGGCGATCGATTACTGACATGCATGTTCCACAGTGGTACTGAAGTAAATATCTGTAAATATTGGGCTTGGGTGTGAAAGTAACTGTTTTCAATTGCCGAACATTAAATATGTTTTTAATGCCGACATGAGTGGAATATTCTGGCAGCGTTCATCAATCATTCATGATGTCTGTCCTTTGAAACACGCTAGTGCCAACAATAAAACGGTGATGTTTATCTGCTGAATCAGGTTGTCTGAGGCTTTTGTTCAGAGTGACTTTCAGTTTTAGTGGCTCAAAGTGTGCTAATTTCCTGGAGCAAAGCGCGCATGTCACTCTGCACATCGAACTTGAACCAATGACCATTAGGTTAGAAGATGCTCTACCTTTACCTCTTTTCACAGCTACCTCTTTTCTTTTCTCTGCTTTTTTAAAAAAACATTCCTTTGTTTATTGTGTTTTTTCAGCGTGTTGATGCTCATAGTGTTTGTCAGGCTGCTGTGGACAAAGCTTTCTGTAGTCATGTTACATACTTAGTGTTTTGAATTAGCAAATACACACATACTGGACACACTCACTGGACAGCAAACTGCTTAATAATTCTTTGCAGCTTTTACTGTGCAATGTCACCACTAACTGTATTTTACTTGTGTGTTTTTCATAAATATTTTAGCATTATTTGGATTGTTTCCTGTACTTGGATTATGTTCTGGAAGTAATTGTGTTATATGTAATATGTTATGTTTACTTCTCACACACATAGATTAATTTCTACGGCACTGTATTCTGCTTTATGATAAGTGACTGTGTGGTGTTAGTGTTTAGTTATGATACAGTTACGTGGAAAAAGCAAAATCGTTAAAAATAAAAGGTGAAGTTATTACCCAGCCCCCCGCCACTTGTTCCCTGTGTAAGCTGATCATGAAACCTCATCATCATTCTGATGATGGTACTTCTGTTAATCCACAGTTGTCATTGGCTTGATGGCCTAATCCGCCCCTTATATCTCCTCTCCACCTCCACCCTATGCCACTGACAGTGAGAAGTATAATAACTGGTCGCACAGGCGCCAAGCCTGCCCCGTGAGCCTGCTGTAACGTGCACGTGACGCAAAAGGACGGGGGGGGGGGGGGGGTTATAATTAACCATTTATCTGGAGCCGAGTTCTTTAACTCCAGACACACCCAAGGTCATGTTCCATGGTAAAAGTGGGTTGTGTTGACCTATTTACCTAAATTTGTAGTAAGTGAACCTTTTATTCTATACTTAACTAGCGATGTTGTGGTCCCAATTCCCTAGCAGTAACACTTAACACGTGCTTAGACTGGTTCCAAGGCTACAGGTATGGGGATTGTCATACCTTTGGAGTATTGTCATACCTTGAGGTGGGCACTCTTCGTCATTACAGCTAATCTTCCTCTTTGTCTTTTGGTTGTTTGTTGTAGTGAGGGGGTCGAAGCCGGGGAAGAACGTGCAGCTGCAGGAGAATGAGATCAGAGGCCTGTGCTTGAAGTCCCGTGAGATCTTCCTCAGCCAGCCCATCCTGCTGGAGCTGGAGGCCCCCCTCAAGATCTGCGGTGAGTCTCGCATGCTGTTGCGTAACTGTGGGGGACCCGTTTTCCCCTGGACTGCTATGTTATACGGCTAAAGTGTACCATTTAGGGCCCCCAAGAAGCTGAAAACCAATCAAGCCTGGCAAAGGGTCGCATCACGCTGTTCACATGGTCTTGAGTTATATTCCAAAGAGCATCTACACGCCTTCTGCTCCACTATAAAATCTAGCTATATTAACGCTTATGTAATGTTACGTGTAGAATGCAGGAAGTTGCTATGGAGATAAAGGCATTTGCCAAGTGAATAAAAGCTGTTCATGATGAGTTGCCGAATCCCACTTCTTAGTAAATGATTGGAATCACAGTGGAGTTTTTCAGAAGTTTGGCTTGAGGCATTTGGATGTGATGCTGGGTTTGTTTGGGGCCTTTAAACGGCTGAAAAATGTTTATCTGACAAGCATGATACCTAAAACGGTGGATGGATTGATCATATATTCAAAAGTGGTCTTTATGGTGGAGTTTTGTCTGAGCTATGCCCCTATAAACATGTTCCCATCAGCATTGTTGTGACTTGGTTGTGAGGGACTGGCCTGAGAATGAGGATAAGCTTGATTGTATTTTCTCTTGGGTTTTTAGATCCCTAACCCAATCCCTTGTTTCCTGTCTATAGACAGGCCTCACTTGTACCCTGTTTCCCATAACTGTCATTAGGGCCAAGCTGATTTGGTGCAGGAACAAGCCCAGGCTGATGGCCTTTTCCCACAGGTGACATCCATGGGCAGTACTACGACCTCCTGCGGCTTTTCGAGTACGGTGGCTACCCGCCAGAGAGCAACTACCTGTTCCTGGGCGACTACGTGGACAGGGGCAAGCAGTCGCTGGAGACCATCTGCCTTCTGCTGGCCTACAAGATCAAGTACCCCGAGAACTTCTTCCTGCTGAGGGGGAACCACGAATGCGCCTCCATCAACAGGATATATGGCTTCTATGACGAGTGTGAGTCGCTGCATTATTAACGCTAGAACCAGAGGGTTGGATTGTCACGGGATAAAGGGAGAGTATTGTCTATTTTTAGATTATGGTGCCTTGCAGTAGGAAAGGAGTGATTTTTCTTTTTTTTTCCTCTTCCCCTCCCCCAAGAGAGACTTTCGTATATGTGTAATGGCACCTTCTCTTTACAGTAATGCTGCAGAATTGAAGCTTTGTAGAGGCCTATTACCATCCATAACTATACAGTTTAAATATGGAATTGTCCTGACTGCCTAAACAATGTACCGTATTTTTCGGACCATAAGACGCACCTAGTTGTAGGGGAGGGAAATGAAGAAAAAAAAGATTCTGAACCAAATAGTGTCCTACAATATTTTACGTCAACCATGTACAGTGAACAGTAGTCAACAGCAGCATTAAGAACCATTATCACTGTTATTAACAAATAAAGTCAGTACTTCAGTAGGAGACACTTCAGTAACAAAAAACTTTCATGTGTATGAATGATCCATTGACACCTGGCCACATCCCTCCCCCCTTTTATGGCGCTGAAGGGGATGTATCTGGATCGCGTTTCACCGTTGCGTTGTTCACCAAATTACCATGCGAATGCGATTTGAATACGCGCTAATGC